AGACATCTTATCAAAAGGGGTTAGATTCGGAATAAAATGGTTGGGTTTTGAGTTCTGTCAGAACCATAAAGAGTGATTTGCAGCAGTGACCTGCAAGCAATGATATTAAAAGTTGGAAGGGTCTTCACTTGAATTTTTAATGGAGCGAAAAATCACTCCCAAAGTTGCACTTAGAGTAATTACTGAGACGAGTGAGCTGGTTAAAGTTTTAGCTTTAATGATTCATACTATATGTACAGCTTACAATTGTTTAATAAAGCACACATAACTAGCCTGATAGAGGGTTAAAAAAAAAAAAAACCAATCAAAATTATCTAAAAGTAAAAATTTGAAAAAGAAAAAAATTTGTAATAATAATAAAACTTTAAAAATTATATATAAAATTTTTTGAAAAAAATATAATAAATAAATTTAGTATTAAGATATAATATACAGTATATAAAATTTATAATTTTTAATTGTATAGTTAAGAATTTAAAAATTGTTAAAATTGAAATTTATAACAAAAACATAGTAAGTAAACTCAAATTTTTGAAAGCAACTATATACAGTATAATTATATATTATATATATTTTATTTAAATTTTTTACTTAAAAATTAAATTCTTTTTATTTTAAAAAATAAAAATATTATATAAATCTTTATTAAAAGAAATATTTTTTTAAATTGATTATACAAATAAATAATTTAAAGAATTCTTGATAAGAATGGTTAATTTTCATATATTTTTAGAATTTGATTGAAAAGTAGTTTCATTAAAAAAATATAATTTGAGTTTACTATAGTATCAAAAAATTTTTAAATAAAAATAAATAAGTAAATTATTATTTAAATTGTAAATATCTTAACAATTAATTAAAACAAGCCAATAAACTTATATGTGAATATTAACTAGAAATTGCTACAAAATGATAAAGATATAAACATTAATATACAGTATTTCATTTATAAGTCATGTTGAACATTTCTTTTTCTATATAAATTACATAATAATTAATAAAGTTTAGAAAGCTTTTATCCTTTTTATATAATTATAATAAAAGTCATAGAAATTTCAATTATTTTTAGTGTTGAAATTACTTTCCAGATAAGTTGAAGATTTATATTCGCTTTCTTGATCCAAACAAGTGTAGAACTTTGTGTATACCTGATCTTGGAAAAGGGATTTTTTCCTTAGATAGTCAAAGTGGATCCCCAGTTAACAGTTTTATTTTCCTAAATTTTAGTTTAAAGAAAATCTTTTACAAATCGCTTGTATCACGAAATTACTCTACTTTAAATACAGTATTATTAATAAAGCCCGTTCAAAAAAAAAAAAAAACAAACAAAAACTGAATAAAAATTATTACTTATTTGAAAATTACATGTCTGTAGTTGCTACCAAACCTTTGGTATTGGGATTTAGGAAGTGAAAGTTCCAAGAAAAATTGAGTCGTCTAAAATTTTACAATGGTTGAATTGAACGAATCTTATGGTCAAACTGGGGTTGCTTGTTAATTGGTCAAGTCCGAAAAAAAAAAAACAAATAAAATAAAATAAAAAATATAAGAAAAATATAATCTAGTTTGAAATTTTTTCCATTTGGATTTGGATTTGAGGTTTGGGCGACAACAATATTATTAATAACCATATATAGATTTTACATTTGACCCCAAATACCCTAAGAAACCGGATTGTGCTACAAGACGTACGGTGCAAGACATTGTCGCGTAACCACGCGAAGTTATGTACGATATGCATATTTAAACATAGCTGCCTTTCTTTCTGTTCTTTTATTTTTAGTAAAATAAAGTATTCGAGTAGTTAATAAATTGATCATTGGCGATTGCACATGGTTCATACTTTGAAATTGTAGTTATAAATGTTCTGAAACAACAATAAAAAAAGTTTAATATAGCACTACTTGTTGCAAGTTGGATCAAAATAATAGACGCGAGTTTGTTTGTTTTTTTTACCAAAAATCGGTGACACGAGCTATTTATACTTTCACTTAGTTATATAAACAGCTCAATAGCTTGATCTGATTCGTTTTACTTGTCACCCACGTTATACTAGTATAACGAGAGAAGGAGAAAAAAAATGCAAAAACCTAAAGAACGCGACAGTACGTTCCTTGAAATATTCTTTTGACGCGTCTTATTGTTCGAAATTATTAATTCGTCTCAATTTTGATAGCTGCGAAAGAGTTTGAGATTGAGGTAATTATAATAGCATGCGTAATAAATCATTGTTGTGTGTCGTTGACCACAATTAAACTGTATAGGATGAAATTACCATCGACAACAATTCGTGTGCTGTTGAGGTAAGTGAACTAGATGTTTAGAAAAGTGAGTTATATGATAAGATAATAAGGTATGCTTTACGTTATAGGAGAGTGTTGACGACGGGAAACCAACTTTTATGAACGACACAGTAAGACATTGTCAATTAAATCGTTTTCAGTATTATCAAAATTCATGTTTTGATTGTATCAAAAGGAGATTTCTAAGAACGGTTCAGAGGACGAGACAAGGTGCTCCGAGTTAGATTGTTCAGAGCCTCGTGTGAATAAGTATTATGTTTCATCTGATGACGAGGACGATGACGACATGAGTTCATATGAAACAAGGTTGTCAAAAACTAGTAATGTTGTTGAAGTGGTGATCAAGACGGAGAAGCGTTCGTTGGTAATTATTATATCATGCTATATTTGTTCGTTCAAGGTTGATCCGTAGAGGATACTAAGTAGTCGCACTAAAAATTGCCATGAAACGATTTGCAGGTCAGTGGACTTTATGTTGAAGTTCCTCCGAGGAAAAAGATCAGAAGCGCGTACAAGTCAAAGGAATTCGAGGAAGAAATCTCCTATACTGAGGAAGAATGCCTTTCAGAATTATTGGTGAGATTTTGTTGACAAAATTCAAAGCGCAGAGCATCAAAGTTAACGGCTTGCATTCCATTAGAGCTGTGAAAATATTTCAGAAATAAGTGACGATGACTACATAAAGTACGATCTTAAAAATTTTATAATATACGACTATTCAGAGAAGGAGGTTTGTGTGTTCACGTGATCAAATTCCGGAATCGGGTATCTCTGGTTTTAATAAGTCGTGAATTTTTAGATTGCGGAAATTACGATAGAAAAAGAAAACAAGACAATCTATTGGGACGGTATAATAGTGGATAATAATAAAGAGTTGTTTTGCAAGGAGGTGAGCAATGAAGCCTATTTTATCATTGTCATTGTTATTTTTTTTCGATTATTTCTTTGTTCTATTTTTATTTATTTTTTTTCACGAATACTTAGGCGGTTTACACCACTTTTTCGATAAGCGGATACGGTCAAAAAATTCCTGATATTGAAGTCCTGATTCAGTCGAATCTTGATAAGAATGTGTGGTACAATTTAGTCGAACCTCACCCCATGTATCAAAGGTTGTGGATTTCATTTATATGGAAAGCCCGTATGGTTAAATATGTGCTTGATTACCTTCACGAAAATCCAAACTCCCTTTTTCACGATCTTAAACAAAATTTCTATGATTGGATATCGAAATATCGTTCAACCAACCCCGTGTTCAAAGAGTGGATCAGTGCCGTAAAAGGAAATTTCGATTTTCGATCCGTGGTGGCGAATAATATCGAACTCCTTTGGAACCAAGCACACAATCTCGGCAAAGGCTATTCAAATCTTAAATTCTTTGGCGGTAAGGTGGTGTAATAACGAAACCAGAAACTTTATCTTAAACCTAATCAATTATATTTTATGGTTAGACGAGTTTTGTCCTACTCTGTGGACAAATGCGACTGGTGGAGTAAGTGTCATTGATTCTATTAATGAAAATGCTTATCAAATATTTTAATTTTGATTGTTTAAACTATAGTCCAATGCGGGCGAAAAAACTGTGGTGACTCCTTTGGTGTATAATTGGTTTGACGACATATTTCCCAAATATTTGATGCCGTTAGGTAATAGAGCCATTTTGTCAGCTTTATGTTTTCCACGGATAAATTGTAGTGATAATTATATATTTGAATGCAATTATTAGAACCCCCTGATCAGAATGGGAATTGTTGCAAGAGCGAATATTCCTGCACACCATATTTAGTCATTCAAAGCGACCAAGAATATCAACAATACAAAATAATTGACCACTCAGAAAAAGTGCAACATTTCGAGTGCTGCATATCGGAAGAAGAACAGCTTTACGAGAAAGTGACAATCGATGGTGTAACATTTAATGTGGGTGATGCGGTCGAGGTTTATCCTGACGAACCTTCCAAAAGTGATCGGTGGTTATGGTAAGGAGAAAAGTTGCATTAATATAGAGGAAATAACTTTTGCTAACTTGATGTATAATTAGCTATATAACTGAGTTGAAGCGAAATCGTTGTACCGGTGTTTTTCGCCTGGTCTGGCTGTACACACGAAAACAGACTATCTTATGCAACCTCTCGAAAGACATAGGCAAGAATAATTCAAAGGAAGTTTTCTTCACGACTCATTGCGAATGTGATTCGGAGACACTCATGCCCCTCGAGAACATAGTTCGCAAAGTAAAAATTTATTACGACGGAGCAAGCTGCCCAGGTTTGCGAGTTTATTCTTGTCATCATTTGAAATATAAAAACGTTTCTCTTTATATTTATCCTATCTTTTTTTTTTCTTTTCTTTTTTTTTAATTATAAAACGTTTAATTAGACTATGAGTACGATGAGGTTTCATTTTTCTGCCGTTACTATTATCGTCATGTTCAAACCGATGGGGCTTTCATGACTTTTCGAAAAGAAATGCTTAATTTTAAAGGCGAAAACCTGATATGCGGGTGCAAGCGTCGCAGAATTTCTCGTTTTAACAAGTTCATAAGCGAATACGAAGTAGGGGACTGCATATTGGTCAATCCTCAAAGCGGTGATACCACGGACTTTTATACCGTGTGCTGCATAGAATCCGTGGACTCCGAGAACGAAATCGTCAAATTACGACGTTTCTACCGGTTTTGCGAGGTATCTGACAATAACTCTCGGAAAGTTATGCCTAACGAGTTATTGTACTCCGACTATGTGTTCGACTTTAATCGTTACAAGAGTGTGGCTCGCGCATGTCACATAGAATTTTTGGAATTTGGGAAACCATTGCCAGTAAACCTTTTGCATAAGGGTTCTGGGAATCACGTAAGTTTACATTTTCCGGACGTCTTTATAAAAATTCATTTATAACTAAAAAAAAAAAATTTTTTTTTCTTCCCTTTCTTTTTTTATTTGCTACAGTTCTTCTTTTCGCGAAAGTATGACAGGGAAACCAAATCCATAAGACCAATTAAATCGAATAAATCATCATTGTCCGCGAAGTTTCCTGATTACAAGTATAAAGTCGGACATATTGGTAGGCTTAATGGGTTGGATCTTTTTTGCGGCGGAGGTTCACTGGGTCGCGGGTTCGAGGATGCTGGTGTCGTTAAATGCAAATGGTATGTATATCCGCGAACGTATCTTACGTACACTGGGCACTTTGTAAATAAAGTTATTGTATTAATAATAGGGCCATAGATAAAGACTCCGCGGCTCTCAAAACATATCGTCATAATGCGCAAGGGGATGACATAACTATAATAAATGAAAGTGTCAATAAGATTTTGTCCGCCGCCATCCTTGGTACTAATGATGTTCGTGTTCCCGAAAAGGTAAATCTGGATCAACGTTTGCTTGGGTTATCATTGAACCCTTACATTTTAGTTAACATCGATTATCGAAATTTAACGTAAAGGATGAAGTAGACATCATCCTTGCGGGATCACCCTGCCAAGGCTTTAGTTACATGAATAAGCACAAAGAAAACGATAAAAGTCAAAGCAACAATTCCCTGGTCGCCTCTGTCGCTTCTTTCGTGGATTATTACCGACCTCGATACATTCTGCTAGAGAATGTAGCCAGGATTACTCAAACCGAAGGTAAACAAACATTCTATGAAGATTACCCGAACAAAAATGGTGTCATTACCTAACCATCTGTTTTACTACGCTAGTTTTTATGAGATTGTATGCATGTTTGCTTGACATGGATTACCAGATTAGATTTAATGTGGTATCGGCCACGCATTTGGGATGCGTGCAAGTTAGGCATCGTGTATTTTTATGGGGTGCCGGTGAGATATTGAACATAATGTATATCGTTCAGGATGCGTTATTCAATCGCTAATAATTTGTAAAGCTAAGGGCGAAGTGTTACCTGAAATGCCACCGATGACGCACCAGTACTCGAAGCGCTTGATGGCTCACAGAGAACTTGTATCAATGGGTAATTCGCTGCGGTATGTTTGAAGACTCTCCGGTTCCATGCTCGCTTAAGAAAGTTAAATTTATACCCTTAAATAGTCTTCAGGGGTTCCAATATGAAAAGTATTCAAGTTTTCCTATGATCACCATCAAAGACCTAATCGGCGATCTCCCCGAAATAGACACCGGAATTTATTGGGATCCAGCGTACCCCGATCATAGGACACATAATTCGACCTTGAAATCCAGGGAGATTCTTCGTAGAGTACCTGTAGATCCTCCCACGAGTGACTACTATTATGCTCGAAAGCTTAACCTTATCCCCAGCATTCATTCTAACGCTGCTTACGACTTAAAAATGAAAAAATACCCGACGTGCAATTATAAATATTGCCAGCGTATCGATGGGAATGATGTATTCGTTACCATCTGTACCGTCATGAGTAAGTTTCATTATTTTTCGTTCGTCTTTCAATTAATCCAACTATATTTATTTGTTTGTCTATATAATCACAGGATGCAATGGATTTGTAAGCTACCTTTCTTCATTTTATTTTATTTTTCATAAAATTAATCATGCGCACTTATTCGCCCAAAAATTTTTTTCTACTTGAAAGTATCCACAAATTGTCCACTATTCGGAACCACGCGTGATATCCGTAAGAGAAGCGGCCCGTGCGCAAGGTATATTTAATGTTCATGTTTGTCTGAAAAAATTATTATACACACCCATGATAAATATTCATTTAAAGGATTTCTGGAAACGGACGTTCTATGTGGCCGTGTCGCCGATCAATATCGAGTCGTCGGTTAGTATTTTTTATTTTATTCTATTTTTTTTCCTTCCACCATGGCACATTATAACCGCGTTACTTAATGAAATTTTTTAGGCAACTCGGTACCACGAAACGTTGCTTTTTCTCTTGGTTTGCAGTTGTGCCGTGCAATGACTGATCCGAATCACAAGTCAAACCCAAGAAACTTTCCGTAAGTATTTCTAAGCTCATTATTATGACCTTCGTCCATTGACTAATTTTTTATTTTATTTTATTTTTTTATTATTACATTGTAGGGTATACGATTAACTTTTCTTGCAAACGTCTGTATTATAATTAATCGAGATCCGTGTACAATAATGGCCCGTAAATAGATATTTGGTCTGCATCACATAGGTGCTCAAATTACTTGGATTTGACTTTGTAAAATATCCAAGGATATTTGATTCCTGGAATAAAATCATGTTTCTAATCTCACTTTACGAGAATCATACAGATAAAATGACAATAAGAAAAGGCATATCAAGCGAAGTTTCCAATAATTTGCTTTGTAATGACATGCCCGTTTCCTCCGCTAGCATTAC